CTCCATTAATGAGGGGACCCCTCGGGCACGTAAAAAGTTCCCTAATTCCATCATTTTCCACCAACGTGTCACTGGCCACTTCAAACAACTCACATCTTTGTCAGTTAAGCTGAGAGCTCCCACATCTATTCCATCATGGTGCCCATCTACATTAAGATCCACAATTCTGAGATTAAAGTCAGAATTCAGACTTTTTTACCATATTAAACTGAAATAAAATTAAAAAATCGGTTAACTTTTTTTTTTTTTTTCCTCAGTGGCCCTAATCCTCTTCCGTAACATCAAAATTACCGCTAGGTGGACAAAAATTACGCCATCTGGTGGAAAATAACCCGGCTTTTTCAAATCACGTGAGAATGTGTACAAAACCACAAAAATGGCGGCGGCAACGCTTCTGGGTCGTTTTCATCGAATGTCGGTGATTTTAAAATAATTTTGAGTGATATATATATATTTTTTTTTTTGCGAAATTTGTTCTCTCACAAAAATAAAAACTATTTGCCCCGAGAGATCGGGCGATGGTTAACATCAAGCCCTGTACTTAAATATCTTCTGCTCAGACTGGAGCTGCTGGCAGAGAAACCAATCAGACTCCAAGGCAACCTCCTCTGCTTATACAGTTCCACCACCAAGGATCGCAGCAGTACGGCAACAGAACCAGATTCTGGACCAGAATCCAACGTCTGAACTTCAACCAGGAGGGAGTTCATCTGCACTGAAGTCAGGGAAGCAAACGGCGGAGCGGCTTGAAGGAAACGGCACACCTTATACGCCTCAGACCTTTGGACCAGTAGAGCTGCAGCCTCATTTATGACATCACCTCTGTAATGAATGACCTGGACGATACAGAACCACCTGGGCGGCGGACTTAAGAAGATTTCTCATCTCGCCTTACATTACACCCAGAAGAGCTTATGAACAAGTTGCAGAACGTATAAATAGTTCGGCACCTAAATATTAAATGTGTGAAAAGTTTAAGCTGGGAAACTGTGCGACAGTTTAAGATGTTTTTAAGAACTTGTGGTTTTCAAAGCTGTTGATGCAGATCTAACAGCTAAGATAAAGAAAGAAACACATTTCAGCTCATTTTCTTGCCAAACACCTAAACAAGGCAAGTTTATTTATATACATCGGAAAAAAACCCAAATCTAAATGAGTCATTTTTTCTTAAAATAAGTGCATTTGTTCTTCAGTTGAGGTAAAAGTCTGTAAATTAAACAAGAACTTTGACATTTAAAGTAAGAGAAAACGATATCGTTTTATTATTTTAATAGTAAAAATACTCATTCTGTATGCAAATCATTGGATTTACCTGCTCAAATTAGGGATTAATACACTTAATTTAAGAAATGTTGACTTATTTCTAGGTTGTTTTGCAGTGTAGCGCAAGTCAGGACTTTCACTGGAAAAAAATCTAAATCTAGATGAGTCCATTTAAAAAAAAAAATTAATAATAAATGCATTTGTTCTTGGATAGAGGAGGTTAGTGAGACACTTTGCCAGTGGAGCAAGACAGTTTACATTTAAAATAAGAAAACTCAACTGCACCGTCTTATTTTAAGTGTATATTATCTAATTATCTTATTTTAAGAGTATAAATACTCCGTTAGGAAACTATCTCATTTACCTACTCAAATTAATGATAAATACACTTAATTTAAATTATTTTTATCTATTCCTAAATCGTTTTTTTCCAGTGTGGAAACCCAAAAGTGCTCCTAACCATCCGTTCAGGCCAGGACCATCTACTGATGTGTTCTCCTGCTGTCCTTGGCTTCCTCATAGCGTTCGATGCTCATATTTTAGGAATCTTCACTTCCTCGGGTCTCTGGTGCCTGAATGGAGGTTCGTCTTCACTGCAAACCTTCTACGCTTCTATGGACGCGTAGAAGGCTTCCAGCCGTACATGTTTGAGCCCTTGCCTCGCAACGCTGCCAGTTCTGTTAGCTCTACGCCTGCCAAAGACACAGAC